CTGGAACAGTGTTGTAAATACAACTTAACCACTGATTTCTAGTCGTGTCCTCTTTTGGAGGACCAAACAAAGTAGTTTCGCTTTCACAACGAAACACAGTGTCTTCACGACATGGCGGCAGCAGCAACAACAAGGAAACATTTAAATCGCATCATATGACCCCTTTAATGTTTTTGCCTGGTCCATGGAAAAAATTCATCAGTGCAGAGTGAATGTCCTCTCCACGGGTTTGGCCCTTTAATTGGAGCAAGGTCAACATTTCCTCTGCAAATTTTTCCCCTTTAAGAAAACGCACCCACACTGCTAGCTGAGCACATCCGTGCTGTCAGTAGATTCATCCAGTGCTAAACTGAAGTATTCTGAACTTTCAATATCTTTTAGCAACTGTGAAAAGAGATCATCTGAAATCAATTCTAGTCTTCTGGTCACGGTTGAGTCAGACAACTGCAGCTTTGAGATTTGTCTAATGATGTCGTCCTTGTTCTTAAAATCCAAAAACCGTGATTCTGCACAGTCCAAACATTTATTTTTGAGAAATTCTCCCTCTGTAAGCAGGCCTCTTTGCTTTTGCAATATTCCAAGCGATTCTAAATGAGGCCTCTGAAATATTGTCAGCGCTTTTAACAATGCCGCGGAACATGGATCGCCAGGCATGAAATCCAGCTAACAATGTCTGTACCTTTTGATGTCTGATATCGCTGCTGTGTGGATAGGCAACGGGATGAAGTTGCTCATGGTTACGTTGCAGATTAGCTCACTTTAATACAGCAATTGTTTTCTGACAAATGAGACACGTTGGTTTGCCACCTATCTCCGCAAAGGCAAATTCCATTTGCCACGCAGGGTTGAAAACTCTGTTTTCATTGTCAGTCTTCCTTTTCTTTGATGCCATCATTAATTAATGTACTGTACTTACACAAATTCTCACAAGCTTTATGACAGATGGGGAGTCGCGTGATTTGGCGCCGATCAGGTTATTTTACCTTTGGGGTTTCCTCAGTCCCCTGCAACCTTAAAGGTGCACTATACCTTTTTTTTACACGACTTCTGATTAAATTGAACTTCATGAGCAGATATGTTGGGCGCTATTAAATATAGGCTAATATTATATTTTATATTTTAATATTTAACAACTGATTAGTCCTGTAATATATATATATTCCACAAATTGATACATTATATTTTCTTTATATGGCACGTTTTTGTACTCAGGGTTGCTATACAAAGTTATTATTATTATTAGTAGTAGTAGTAGTAGCCTAGTAACGTTAGTAGTAGCCTACATTAACTTTAGTCAGAATCCGCTCCGCTCAGTGTGGCTTGCAGCGCTTGAGTTCTGCACAGACGAAGCCTCTCATTAAAACAAAAAAAAAACATACAGTTATGACACAGTGTTAGTAAGAGGTTCATTGTGGAGCTCAGCCAGATTTTATAATTATAACGGGAGGTTTCTCAAGAGTCCAAAACACTGTGAACTCGTTGACGTGATGACAGCTCCATTTGGAACACCATGCCATTTACACAAGTTTCAGGAGTATCAACTGCCTAATATTTGCGCTACTTTTGAGCGCAAATTATAATAAGGCGCGAGTCAAACCAGTGCGGAAATGGTACTGTACTCGCAGTGCGTGCTCTTCAATCGCACGCACAAAGGCGCCGGCGCGTGCTGTAGCCTGTATCCTTTCATATCAAAGCGTGAAATAAACTACATACATGCAATTTCGTGGTCAGTTAAGTCATGAAATTACCAAAAAGGCGATTAAAGCTGCCTTAAAACTGTTCATGCATGTAATATATTTTATATGAGTCATATTTAAGAACATGTCTCTGAAATGGTTTTCCAAACTGTCCTGGAGCAGCCCAGCCCAGTCTCACTCATCTAACACACCTGATTTAACTCGTCAGCTCATTAATAGAGACTTTCGGTGCGTTCCAAACGGGATATATCGCCCTCCGAAGGGCACTTCGGAGTGAAAACAGTCATGGCCGCCATATTGAAGGGTCATTCCAAACCGAAGTGCTCAAAACTGGCCACTTCAAAGGGCCCTTCAGAATGAAGGATTTCGAAGGGTACAACTGATGGACACGTCAGGCTCCCATGATCCTTTACGCAGATTCTTTGCATGATGATGGCACCTCCGTGTGGGCACGGGATGATGACGCAGAAGGGCACTTCAAGAAACAGTTGTTTAGTCCCCTACACCCTTCGAAGCTCTCACTCCGGAGGGAAAACCCTTTGAAGGGATTAGGGCATAGGGATGAGCCCTTCCGAATGGAATAACCGGGCCGTTATTTTTTTTTAAAGTCTAATAAATGTTAAAATTGATAGCTCTCAATTATACTGTAATGTTGAATGACTATAGTCAATGGTTAAATATTAGGGTGGGGGGCAATTTTATATAGAAATCAGTATTCGTATCATTGATAGGCTGGCCTTCAGTCATTACATTTACATTTAGTCATTTTGCAGACGCTTTTATCCAAAGCGACTTACAATCGGGGGATACATAAAGCGATTCTTCTTAAAGAGGCAAACAGACACAGGAAGTGCTTGTAATACCAAGTTTCTAGA